TCCCCAATGCCTCTCACAAGCGCCTCGCTGGAGGCCAACTCTACCAGATCGTCACGACCTGGGCCACCCGCATGCTCCTGCAGACGCATACGTTGACAATTCCGCACGCCGACGTCGGTCCCGCAGAGCACCAACAAGCAATGCAGCTCATCCGAGGCAACAGCCCCAGGGCTCGCGCGCATCCTCATGCGACTCGGGTGCTCAATAGTAACCGCACGCGCACCCTCGCCGTTCTGCTACCAATCTTTCCCGACACAGGCTATAATGCTATGGCAGACACACTCTACGGCGCCGTTGCTATCAGCCCTGCGCTTATCTGGTGCACATACACTTGGCGCATCAATAGCCCAGCCCCACAAGCGCTAGGATACATCCTCATGCTAGGGCTGCATGTAGGGGAAATCTCTGAGCCGCACTATTGGCACTCAGACAGACCGGCAGACAGATGCCAAGCGTTTAAACCCAGTGACAATACAAGGGTACGCAATGGCAGGGACAGAGGTAGCAGAGGAGAACACCACAGAGGATAGATTGCAAGATGGACAAACTAAAGGAGCTAAGGTACATAGGGGTGGAGTCTTATATACAAGTCAAGGCAGTGTGGGAATGGGATGATGAATATAGACAAGCAAGTAGATAACTGAGCGAGCCGGGCCCCGCTGACAAGGGAGGAGTGTGTAAGTGGGCCAAGTCATACGTAAACGGTGTGAGTCATGCAAGTCCGGAGTCTGTGTGCCGGAATGCCAAGATGCCAAGATGCCAAGATGCCGAGATGCTGAGTCAGAAAAGTAAAGAAAAGGGAAAAGAATAAGGACATTGCTGAGTCATGTGATGGCCGAACCATGGCATTGCCCTCTCTAAGACATGTTTATGCCCGGAGCATGTTGTCTAGGGTCCCTGGTAATTTTTTGGGTGTGGCACTCTAGGGTGACATTTATGGTACTCAGCTATAGCATCCTTCGCATTCTTGAGGGCCGACGCCAGCACCATAGGTTTGCCGTGTCTGGATAGCCCTCCCATTTGACAAGGTACTCAAATCTGCACTTGTTTCTAGTCTCCTGGCCATTCAGGATGGCTTCCACCACATATTCCTTCTCATTGCCAACCAATTACGGGGTATTTATGCTAATAAATCACCGTTCTTTCTCGTGCACACCCAGCCGTTTTTCGAGCAGCTCGTTTGCTCAGGTACGGAACGCATTAGGCTAAATTAAAATTTGCCATCTGCCACGATACTGTAGTCCCCTTTGGTATTTAGACATCTATGGATAGCTAACAGTAAACTAAACTTGTCAGTCTTTACCTCATGTTCTGGAGATGGATGGTTCGTGAGTTATAGCTAGTTTGGTGTCCAGAGTGGAGGCTAGAGTTTTTCACATGGAGCCTGAGTTTTTCCCAGGATGCTCGGATGCTCGGCCCCTTCAGACTTATGTTGTGTCACTATTTAGCAGTACTCTGCTACTATGTACACTATGCTATATCAATCTCATGACTCTTCACACTAGCTACCAATACATGTAAGCCCCAAATCCAAAAAGAGAATAAAATTCCCACGCTCTTGCAAACCATGAGATTGTCTCGCCGTTTATGGGAGCGTGGGAAATCTGTGACCTTTGATCAAATACCAATGAATCAGACCTCCTAGAGCAATCTTTGGTGAATTCACTATTTAGATTGTACATGATATTGCTATAACTACTGTGCTGGCTCATCTAATTCCCTTTGTACTCAGTAGCTGCTCTTGTGCTATACTAAAAACCCAGAAAATTCAAAATAAATTTCTAGAATACATCATTAGATTGGTGGGTCATTAGTGGTGAGCTGATTACCTAGCTTGGCTAGGTTTCCCACCCTCAAAACCTGTCCAGGCACTGCCCAACTAGGGTTTGCCGTTCCGCAACGCAGGATGACGCAAATGATTGATCCTGTCTCGATCTCAACACAATATGGTGTCAAGCCAACGTGGAGCCAGCCTTTTGTGCAGGGAATAACAGGGATTAAGTTAATGCTACATCAAGTATACGGCGAGTGCATAGGCCAAATGGGGGGAAGTACAGTTTTGAGTGCGTGCCTCGTCGAGTCAACATGCTTACCAGTACCGTGCGCCGGGGCCGCGCACTGCCACACAAGCAGTAAACATTAACACTGGGTTCAGCACATATACACGACAAACTAGACACTACGAGTGCCGCGCGCAGCCCAGACATTACAGAGCAAAGGAACAAGCAAGGTTACTGCTGACGGAGTCCGGTGCTCTAGTGAGAGCAACTATTGAGAATCTTGATAGGCACATCCCTTATATCCCAACCATGCTTAGCGGAGATGCTTGGACCAGATAAACACAAATGGGCAGCATCCGAAGCAGATCAGAGGCACTCATCAAAAATAGCAGTCTCCCACTTTGCACTGAAGTCAGAAAGATAGTCAACCCAGAACCCAGGTGTGCAAGCCTTATAACATTGTGTAACACTGTTTACATCACAGGAGAGATACCTGTGGTGTATTTGGCCCTGATTAAGGTCCTACTTTGCTGCTGAAAGGATAGAAAATTACCAAAGAGTGTCATATTAAAGGGCCATAGGGATCGTATCTATAATGAAGCTTGGCCAATACTGCCGGATCTCAATATTTGTCATAAGTGAGTGTGAGAGGAGCAGATATTTTGGAAGGATGCACTGGAATTGTACGCCCTCAAGTTCAGGCCCTCAAAGCATTACATGTTACACACTTGGAGGTTCACCCAAATTAGGTTTGTAGGCCACTACACTGTATTACAGCAAACCTCGCAATGCAAGGAGAGGAAAGCTGCAGATGCACTGGCAAAGCCAGCCCAGTATGCTGGTAACACTTGTTGGTTCTCCGCCTGTGTGGTACCCGATACTGAATCTGCCAGAAGTTTGTTTTGTGATGGCCTATTATCGTCATTCTAAGAAAAAATGAAAATCGTGTTGCGCAGATATTTTTCCACGCACGTGCGCGCCTCGCACATAGATCGCACATAGCTCCGCAACCACTGCATGTATGGACACCGTAGTTTATTATTTCGGTGTGAATCAATTAGCGTAAAAATACTGTGCAAAAATTTCGGAAAAAGTGCCGGCCAAAATGCCCGCTACTTTTGCGACCGCGCTTCGCGTGCACTCGCATCGAGTGTTGCTTACAAACCAAGCGGTTGCTGAGTTCAAGAATCACTGTGATTGACAAACAATATGTGTAGATTCTATATATATAAGTTAGATAGCGAGATGACGGGCATGTGCGGGAGAGGGGGAGGCGAGAAGATATGATAGGGAGATAGTCCGGACGGCTGCGCACTTCCAGCACAGTGTCAGCATCCCCAAAGCGGTTCAACTGGTATTGGGGGACGTATGTATATACCACATATTCATCTGATAAGAGCATGAGCGCTACGGCGGGATGCGAAATCCACGGAACACGCACTGCACAACATCCGTGTTGCTGTGACTTCCTCCTCACCTCAAACCACCTCGAACCATCCTGGTCAAGCTCCAGAAGACCTCATAGACAACAGCAGATGTTGCTGGCACAAAATATTGTGCGGGTTCACAATGGCTCGTCGCCACACCGCGTCGCACCGATTTGGTGGCCAACAGAATGGCGCACCTAGCGCGAGATGCTGACGCGTCCAGGACAAAAACCAGTATAGGTAAGTCGGAGAGTCTTGTAGACCATGATTGCGCGAGCTGGCGCCTTTGGATATGGTGGTTTTTGAGCAACACTCGATACAAGCGCGCGCGAAGTGCGGTCGCAAAAATAGCGGGCATTTTGGCCGGCGCTTTTTCCGAAATTTTTGCACAGTATTTTTACGCTAATTGATTCACGCCAAAATAATAAACTATGGTGTCCGTATGTGTAGTGGTTGTGGAGCTATGTGCGATCTATGTGCGAGGTGCGCGCGCGCGTGTAAAAATATCTGCGTGACATGATTTCCATTTTTTTTAGAATGACGATACAGCAGCTTGCAAAAAGATAGAGAGGCCAAGAGAAAAAGATGGATAGAAAAGTTGTCTACCTGTGGGGCTTATGAGATATAAGGATGTTTGCCATCCCAATGCTCTTCATCCTCAATTGTGTGTTCCCAGCTCCCTGGACCACTTGGTATGCTCCTATCTGACGTGCTGCACCCCACTGCGTGCTTTTGCTGGCTCTCTAATAAGCCGAGGGAAGGCAGGATGCTGGCGAGGAGGATGAGAGCAGAGGAGCCATGCATTCCGGCCTGACAAGCGGCCCCCCATGATTGGTCGGAGAAGCTCTAAGAAGCCCCACAGGTAAACAAATTCTCAACTCATCTTTTCGTGGCAACATCTCTATCTTTGTGCCATCTGCTGTACATATTACAAACTTCTGGTAGAATTACAGTACCATATAATTATGTGTCTTATAAATAGTGACTTATCTTGGGTTTGGTCTTTGTCACAATGTGTTTTTGTTCACTGTGTAGCTGTATAATGTCATCATAAGATAACATATATTGTGATACAAGAATTGAGGTGGGAATAGCAAAAGATGAAATAAAATGAATGGCACGGAGGAGATTTGAACTCCAGATGTCACTAAGATAAGATGAATGAACATGTAACCACTACACTATTAGAACTTCAGCAAATGCTGGTTATGATTAAATCTATGATACAGGCATAAATACCCCGTATGTGCCACACTCTGTGATGGCCTGTCCTCTGGTGCAATAGATGGAGAGGCTTGCTTGGGTCACTCTCATGTGGGCCTGCTGGTCCTATCTATACTGAATGTTTGCGATACGGCTCTCAGTACCACAATCAGCGCGACCAGCGACATTCCTTAATGCGGATCGAGTGAAACATCCTTGTCTACAGGATCTGTCCTGACTTTCGATCTTCATTTGTAGTAGTGGCAGCAACAGATGTACACGTATATTGGGTGCAGGTTGGGCGCAGGTATGCAAATGACATCTCAAAAACAACATATATACGGGCGCAGACAGACAAGCAACTCAATCATCAATTGTTCATGTTCTCCTCGACGAAGTGCATGTATGCGCTGGCTTCCTCCACAGTAAAGTACGCCCGGATCACGGCATTCGGGAAGGATTGATTCAGACCAGACCTGAGCATAGTTAAGCAATGTAATAATAAAGAAAAAAAGGTACATACTCGGTGATGGTCAGCGAGAGCTGGTACAAGTCAATGTTTGCACCATTAATGACAACAAAGTACTGCTCTTGAGCAAGAAAGTGCAGCAGCGGCTCGATGTGTTCCTCACGCGAGACATATCACTGTCCAGAGCAGCTCGGACCAGCTCTAGAAGCAGGCGCATCTACTCGAGCCTTACCCTTGACATCCTTGTTAGCACTAGGCAAAGATGCATGATCTCCGCCCGTAGATGTGTCGCACTTCTCTTGCGGATACAAAAAAGGTATCAGCACAAATCTAGAATGGACAGGATGAGCTGTCACTTACGTAGAACTCGTGAAGGTGCCGGCGTGTAATCTCGAGCCGTTTGCGAGACAGCCTCATTATCTCCCTGAAACGAGCTTTGACGATGTCAAATAAGTGCTGCTCGCACGCTGACAGATCACCAGCTTCGGCACGTTCGAGGAGAACACGATGCTCATCTGCCGTATGGTCAGTGCAGAGACGCAAGTCCTCTGCGAGCCAAAGAAGACTAAGTTCTTCTTGACCCATCTTGACCTCGGCGACATTAGTATCGCTCCCGGCGTCATCGTCAGTGTCGCCGTCAGCGTTGTCACTAGCATTGTCACCAGCGTCATTGGCAGCAGCCTTCGCAGCAGCATCAATGTTTTTTCCTTTGCCCGATGCGAGCGCACCACACTCGACATGATGGGCATCATGCTTGACAAAGAACTGCCCCGGGTCGCCATACAATGTCATGTTACCTCTGACATCTACTGCGTGAAGAACATCATTGTTGTTGATCCAAAAGTGGACGATGAAGGCACACAGGCTCCGGCAAGTTCACGCGGTTGGGCGTGGTGTTCCCATCTGCATCTATGAAATGATGCATGTCAGCATGAGGCAACCTGATATGAATCAACTTGTGTTACGTACCATTGACAACGGTTGATGATGACGATAAGTTGAGTGCTTCAACAGCGTTGATGAGCTCGGATGTGTTGCCAGCCTCGGATGTGTCACCAGCCTCGGATGTGTCACCAGCCTTGGATGTGTCACCAGCCTCAGAGCTGTGGTCAAGCAGAGCATTGACGATGGCAGCGTAGCGCTCGCGGCTGTAGTAGTTCATGGGTTGCAACCCATGAGGCAACTATGCCCAATGGGGTTGCAACCCGTCTCGGGAAGTTGCAACTGTCTTCGGCACAACTCGGCATGACGATAAGTGCTTGGGCAGACCAAATCTGGAAAATGAACACAATTTCATTATATATAAATTTGACTAATTATATGGTGGGTTGTAAAACTGGTTTGTACAGGCAAACAAGACCTACGTAGAGATCAAGGGGACCATGTATAGCAAGGAACGAGCTTTTGAACAATGAAGGGAATATTCAAAGTGTTACAAGTGGATTGGGGGGAAGAAGTAAACGATAGGGTACGGGAAAGCGAGCGTAGAACAAACACAATGCGTATAAACCTTCATGGTAAACAGGAACAACAAAAAACATGGTGAACGGGACAAGAATGAACAATTGCAAGCAGTCACGTGTCGCGCATACACACCAGGTGCACGATTGTGCATAATGAAAGCAATACGGGCGGTGTAGAGCATTACACTAGCGACCGTATGGGAGACCACATCAAGGCGCCGAGGCAAACTACTGATGCGCATTTGTGCGTGGCGAGGCTGCAAGGATAAAGATAACTGTAGATCTATGTCAGCGAGATAGGTGGGGGAGGAACGGGCACGCGCATACGTGGAAGAGATGGCCATATCACTGACGAGCGAGTAGGAGTCGGCGGTGCCCTGATGAGAGCGATGAGTATAGGAGAAGAATGTAACGCAAGTTGGCTCGCACATACGTGTGGGTGACGTCCCCCTATGGGCGGGTCGACACCAGTTTGGGCTTCGCTGATAACAGCATAGTAAGTATGAATGTTGACATTCTACAAATTACGACACACCTAAGCCTACGATATTGCTCACCATTGAGCAGAGGAGCGAGATCATTGACGCACATGGCAACGCAGGTGGCGGTAATTGATGTCGCGGGAAGGGGAAACCCGCACTATGAGAGGCGCACAGCGTAGATCGATCAAGTAGACGGTGGCGGGCAGCAAAAGCGTAGGCGGCGATGGAGGAGGACAGCAAGGGTGAGGGTGAAGACAAGTGCAAGGGCGAAGGTGAGAGGGAGGGCGCGATAGAGGGAGAACAAAAATCGCAAAGTCGCAAGTCACGCCGTGCTGACGTGTCGTTGGCTCAAGCGCTCTGATTGGCTCACCTGTTCCGAGCCAACCCGAGCTGCGCTTCACGTGTCGTTTGACAAGGCGATTTTTGGACTGTAGCTGACAATCTGATTAGCTGATTAGTAGGCTATAGCCACTCCACGCCTGTTAACTGAGCCATGGCTAAGAACTAAGCACACTGAGCCATTAAATAAAGGACCTTTATAATGAATTAATGATAATGGAGCTCTTCTTTATTGAATATTGGCTATTGAGCTCAAATACGGCACCTGCCGAGAGCCAGGAAGCCATCAATATTGATGGGTAGGCTCCCAGGCCTTCCTCGGCACCTCCCGGGCTCGCCCCTGATGGCC